TATTTGGTTGGTCAACTTCAGTATACTGATTTGTTTAGTGCAGGATAAACCTGTTGTCAATTTAACGAACAAATAACTACTTATAACTAATTTTAACTTAAAAAAACCAACTTACATTGGTGAAGTACATAACTTCTTGAACGACTTCGAAACTTTCAAAAACCGCTATTTCGTCATCCTTATCTTTTTTATGGACAAATTGAATATATATATATATATATATATATATATATATATATATATATATATATATTGTAACATCCCAAACTACGACCCAAAAATTTTTGTTTTAATATTACTAAAATCACATCATCGAATGTCAAACATACTAAGAACCATAGAATGAGTAACTCTAAAACTCAAGTAACTGTGTCAAAACAAATACTGTGTCAATCATATCATAATATCTGAATAAAACTCCCAGGATAAAACTGAAATTGTGGTGTGTGCCATGCCGTCATCCCGAGCCCCCCTGCATCGGACTAACTGGGGCCTTGCCCCCCTGCATCGGACCGAAGTCCGGACTAACAGGGGCCTTGCCCCCTGCATCGGACCGAAGTCCGGACTAACTGAGCATAACATAACATGATCACATCATATAACATAAGCACATATACTGCATACTGCATCGGACCGAGGTCCGAACTAACTTACACATAAACATGCCTGAATCACAAAGACATCAAGCATACTGAACTACTGCATCAGACCAAAGTCCGGAACTACTACTGTCTAAACGGGCCGACATTGTGGCCGTAGACCCGTTCCTACTGGGAGGAAAACTCACCTAAACTGCTGAACTCTGCTGATAATCCTCTGGCTGCTAATCGACTATTCTCTGAAGCGATGCTCTCCTAGCTCACCGAGCTACCAACACCAAATAATAGAACTTAGCCTAACTGTCCTCCAGAGGTCAACTAAGTCAACTCTGGTCAAGGTCCTGGTCAAAGTCAACCTTCCAGTTGACTAGACTCGCCGAGTTGTTCTACCAACTCGCCGAGTCCATGCTCCTCAAATCCCAAACAACCCCGACTCCACTCGTCGAGTCTAGCGAGAACTCGACGAGTTCTCCTTCATCTAACACATCGGGACTATCTTCAACTGACTCGCCGAGTTGTTCTACAACTCGCCGAGTCCATCTTCATCAGCTAAGAAGATTGCCTTGGACTCGCCGAGTTCCTCCTTGAACTCGTCGAGTACCATGATCTTCATGTCCATCACGGACACAGACTGGCTGAGTCCTTCTCTAACCCCACTCACTGATCCGACTCATAAACAGAAGGGTTTGGGTTTTGCGACCCGACTCGCCGAGTCCATGAGCTGACTCGCCGAGTCCTCCTTGTGACAACTCTATTCTGTCGATTTCAGTCAATTCCAACACTTCCAACCCATAGATCTAGACTCCTTATGCTAGCATTGCACGTAAAGTTGCCAACTTTACGTGCATGCAAGGTGCTATGAGGCTAAAACACTTAATCTAAGCTTCAAGGAAGACCTAGGTCATGAAATGGGACCTTAGCTGAATAAAGCCAACCACTTTGAGCTTCTAAAGCTCAAGAGTGTCCAGATCTGTTGTCCAAACCATCCACAAAGGCTTAATACTTGGATTCTACTTGGAAATGATCCAATTGTGACAAAAAGGCAAGCTAGAAAGGGGATTTATCAATTGAAAGCTCAAGGTCCAGACTTTTTACCTTCTAACAGTTGCCAACTCGATGTGAAGGCTGGATCTACACTTCCTTCCTTGCTCCTTTCTCCCAAGCCTTCAAAATCCACTCCAATGGACCTTAATCTTCACCAAAAGCTCCAAAAATGAAGTTGGGTGGCTAGGGTTTTGGGGTTCTGGACGAGAGAGGCTGTAATGAACCCTAGGGAAGAGAATAAGATGCTTAAATAGGGCACCAAGTCCCGAAATTAGGGCTTCCTAACCCAGACCTGACTCGCCGAGTCGGTCACTTAATCTTGCACCCGGATCCCGCTCCGACTCGTTGAGTTCTTCCTTGGACTCGACGAGTTGACCCCCTTTTGACTTAGGGTTTTTCTTTCCTTTCTTGGCTTTTCTGATACCGGGTGTTACATATATATATATATATATATATATATATATATATATATATATATATAGAGAGAGAGAGAGAGAGAGAGGTAGGTTCAAATGTTTCTCACATCTATTGTGTGCTAGAATGCACAAATAGGAATTTACTATTAGTTGTATGTATATTAAATGTTATCCATACTTATAACTCATTTTTATGGAAACTAATTAAATTCGTCATTAATGTCAACAATAATATTCTCTCAGAATGAATTCATATTTAGAAGAATGAGAGGGTATTCCAGCAGAATATTACATGCAACTTTATTGTATTTTAAGTGAGTGAGTCCTGAAACAAAATACGAACTCATATATAAAAACGTAGATGCGAATTCATTCTAAAAGATTGTTATTGCTGACATTAATGACGGATTTAATTAGTTTCCATAAAAAAAGAATTATAATTATGGATATCATTTAATATACATATAATTATGGAAATCATTTAATATCTATATTTATTTAATTAAATATTTATTTAATTTTACTAAATTTCTATTGGTGCATTCTAGCACACAATAAATGTAAGAAACAAAATAACACACACACACACACACACACTATATATATATATATATATATATATATATATATATATATATATATATATATATATATATACTAGTAGTGTACCCGCACGATTCGGCGACGCCAGATAGTTCCTTCGGTAAATAGTTTTCTTGCGGCGATCAGTTTTCCTTCTTGTGTCAGATAGTTTATTTTAGCTTTTTGGCCGATTCTTTTTCGGCAAGTAGTTTTTTATTGGTATGTTGTTTCGAGATAAAAAGATAAATATGTTGTTAATTTTCAATGTTGCAAGCATTTTGCGAATGCAGTGTGAATTGTTTTTTTTTTAGCGAATAGTATCATTTCGATGATTATGGTTTAGAACATGGGTAATTTATTTAATTCTTGTTAAAATCCTTCATAATTATACCATTATGTTGGAATGGAATGACAATCTTTAAATCACCATCAACATATCTCAATTTTAACCACTAACGTGTTCCACCTCAACTTAAACCTCAAATATCTTACAAGAGTCACATATTCTAAGTTATTTAACAATGATTATACCATTGTATTTTTGTCTTGATTCTACCATGGTCCAAATTGGAGGTTTTAACTGCCTTTGCTTTTACCAGTTACTTAGTGAGATAGGCATTAGAGGCAAAAAAAAATCATTTTGCTTTGAAAATATAATATCCTTTTATTTCACCCCAAAGAACTCAAAGAACAATCGACCACAAAAATAGGCATAACAAACACATCATCAATACACTTAACTCGGATTTTAAATAATACACAGTTATTGATATTTAATAAAAAAACTAACATCATAATATAACATATTCTAAAAGTGCCCAATAAGATCCACCAAATATATAGAAGAAACCATGATGCATTCAATACGTTGTAGCCAACATTGCAGATATGTACTTCCAAAATGTACCTATTGGTATGTTCCATGATCTCATTTTCAATAAGCCACCCCAAGCACACTACAAAAGCAATTGCATAAAAATCTTCAGGACCCTACACTTGTAATATTGTTTAGGATCCTACTTTCAATACTTTCTACTACAACAATGTATTTTAAACCAACTACTTTTTAAGATAAACAAATGGTCTTCACTGACCAACAATTTATTGTCTAAAATGTCGTCCTACTTTTTAATTTTTTCTATTTTTGTAAGTATTTAGAATCAGTTCCTGTGTACTTGTCTTTTGTACCTTTCGGCACTGATATTCTTGCAGCTTGGTGATAACTCAAGATCATCTTGATACAATCCCTATACATGCAAAGTGTTATTGAGTACAGGAAAACCTTACACAGATATTATGTAAAAAAAAATTTAAAAGATTACCCGAATATTAAAGAAAGGAAATATTAGTGAGAAGCAACCTCCAATCCTCCATGACTGATACGAAAAGGTAAAAGACTATAAGCAACAAACCCAACAGTCATTACACTGAAAACTATTTTAGGATCAGAAATGTCAACTACCTTCTTACAACTTGTTGTCAAGAACTTTTGAGTTTTGACAACCTTTCTTCTGCCCATCAGTGTGAACTGCAACCTATCATTGTGTCAGTTACAATCATACTCAGATGGCAATGTAAATCTACTCATTAGAAAGGGAAAATAGACCAACATCAACCCACTCAACGCTTCTTAAATAAAAATATATAGAATCAAATCATCATGGAAGATATAAAATAAAAACTTAAGTTATAGAGTGTTAGAAATTAACAGGAAAATGATTTATTAAGCCAAAAATCAATGCAAAAAAGTTTAAATGCCAGAAAAAAAACACAAAGAAATATAAAACATACCTTGTTAGAAAGAAATCAAATTTGTCAAAATCAATGAGCTCAAGTGCCTAATCCATTTCTACTTTCGTCCATACATACATTCCTTGCAGTCTTTTATAGAACATATAGAGGGGTAAAAGTGTTTGGTTAGAGTACGAATTCGTAAGACAACAAACACAAAGGCATAAATAAAAATAAAAAAGAAATTTCTCACCATGAAAAAGAAACATTAACTGGAACAGGGCACACAAAAGAAAAGAAACCTTAACTATCCACATGCTTTTATTTTGGTTCTAAACCTGAAAGGTGAAAACAAAGGGCAAACCAGTCACTCCAGCAACAAAATAGAGGATAAATTGGTCATTTTAGACAATAATCTACAACGTACCGACATGATAGGCCAAATTAGTTGCTTCAGACGATAGAATGAAAGCAAAATTTTCACCCAGACCTATAAAAACATCAAACTTGTGATCCTTTTGATTCTTAGCAATCACATGTTGGTGAATCACATGCTTAGCTTTTAAGTCTTGAGAATCAATCACCACCTGTATAAATTTCAAGTACCAATTTGTTATTTCGAACAGGTATGGATGGAGCAGCACGACAACCACATTACATCATTAATGTTCAAAGAAATGGAATTCACTTTAGCAAATGCGTCAGGTCATAACGGGTTCAATTCTTTTTGTGATTATCCCTTAAAAGTCGATGAGTGGTGGCGGGGATGGAGAGCAAGTTAAAGTAGAGAGAGTGAGAGTCACAGATCATATTGGGTTGACATTGCCGGAAAAAGGTTTGTGAGAGCGCACAGTTCGTGGAGACGACAATCAGAAATGGCGGTGGTGCGAGGTTGGAGAGCGGGTGGTGGTTCACTGGCGATGGTGATGAGGACGATGACTTGAGCGGATGAGTTGCGATGTCGGCGCTTATGATTAGGGTTTTTGATATTTGTTTGAGGGATTTATCGATTGTAGAGGTACAGAAGAGGAAAATAAAAATTATTGTTTAATTTCTAAAGTCAATGTTAGTGTCAATTAATTTGTGAAACGTAAATGTAAAATGATCTATTAATTGGTAATCATAAATTGATCGTAGTAGATATGGTTCCTCTTAAATTTTAAGAAATGTCAAAAATACTTTATATAATAGTAAAGATATGCTTAATATTATTGTACATGAGGTAATATATGTTGTACCTCTTAATTTTCAAGAAATAGACAATATCCTTAATAATATAGTAAATATATATATTATATATATATATATATATATATATATATATATATATATATATATATATATATATATATATATATTTTGGTGCTGCTAAATTGACATCTTTTACACAACATTGACATCTTTATCAAAAATCAACCTATAATTACTATTTTTAACTAGCTTTTTCGAAAAACAATGTAATTTTAACCATAAAAATATTTCAAAAACTAAGTAGGTGCCTATACGGTAAAATGATGCGTTTTTTTAGCAACCTCTTTGCTTATTGTTATTGTGCCTCATACTTCAAACCAGGGGCGGACCTAAGAATTTTCCGAAGAGGGGGCAAATTTTTTTTAAAACTTTTTTATGGGGGGCAAATTTTTTTTGATGAGTCAAAATATATAATTTTAGGTTAAAATATATTTTTTTTTGAAAAAAAAACCTATTTTTAATAAAAAAAAATTTGTTGTGGGGGCAATTGCCCCCACTGTAGGACCGCCCATGCTTCAAACGCGTACTGTAAGATTATCCCGAGAAAAATTTGTGCTAATCTAGATGTAGAAAGTGAGTACAACATCATATAGTTATCCAATAAATTTGGTCATCAACACATTTCTTTTTCCACGCCATTAACTTGTACACTGTACAGGTTTGTAGTCTAGATCCCCTTGTAAATTCCATTTACCGAAATTGCTAGGGGTGACTAGTATCACCAAGAGTTGATTACTAATGTTAATGATGCTTGCACGATGGTAGCACCTATAGCCTATCATGGCAAGTCAATCTAGCCTTTGACTGTATAAGTGTTTTTTATGAAATTTTGTAATGTAGTGTTCAAATTCAGCAAAGGGTGGACCTAGTGTGTCTCCCACTTTTGGGTGCTAAAGTAACTGGCCATATAGAGTGGGTAACCAAAGGGCTTCTAGCCCAGCGGTATCCGGTGTTGCCCTCTCTCCTTGAGGTTGAGGGTTCAAGTCCCGCCGTGGACATATGTGAATTTAAGGTGTAGTTTAGGAGTAGGTTAGATTTGCCGTTTCAAAAAAAATATAGAGTGGGCAAACTTGAGCCACTATAAATAATATTAAGCTGCTGTCAGCAGATCTCCTTCCGTAGAGCTCCAATTTTGTATTGATTAATAAAAAAAGATGTAAAAAGTGGCATCGAAAGGCAATGATGACAAATGTGTGGTAATATTACATATTGGCAACAAACATATATAAAGATCAACAAATTATTATCATGATTATGTAATGAATGATCTCAAATAATCTTTTGGTTAGTCAATAAATCCTCAAAACACGTTATTAAATGGTTAGTCAATATATCTCATCAAATGAATATACACAATGCCCTCAATATTCTAATAGCCACTACAGTAACGAATTCATGCAATCATCAAGAATTCTCCAATGGTTATTAAATGGGTTTGTCATCACTTCTTTTGTGGCTCTGACCTTCTATACACACAAATGAATTTCTACAGCTGGAATCACACTGACATCACATGTTATTTAAAGATTTTAATACCAGTATATAAGTATCCATTGATTCCATTCCCATTTGTAATCTACAATTTCATTCCCCTAGACTTATCCTTGAACTTCTACTTTTAAAAGAGCTACATTTGATAGTGGAAAATCAAAATGATTTACTTCAAAGTCTGAATATATATTTTCAGAGTTATGTTTTTAAGATGTGTGTGCATGATAACTAAACAACCTTTTTATCAAACTACATTTTGGGAATGTAAATCTATCAGTTACATTATCGCTGTTTAGAGTGTAAATTGTGAGGCGATAAAACTTATAACCATCTAACCTAAATAAAACGACATGATCATTTTTTCAATGGCAATAAATAATAATAATAATAATAGTAATAATAATAAATCAGATGAAACTACCATACACTGACTGAACCTTCAATTGCTCCCACGTTTAATAGGAGATTGTGTAAAATCATCATGTTTCTTGGGCTAACTTAAAGCCCAAGTAGAATACCATGCCGGCATACCCAATCCGACAATCCAAATCAGAAAAATGTGTAAGCCCATTGGGCTAACTCAAATATATACATACCACCTGAGTTACGATTACGAAGCATAAATTCGAAGCAAGTAGACGTGGGTTAAATCAAATCCCCTATTATAATAAAAGAAACTTTTTGTCTACGTGTCATATTCTCTATGCTTCTTGGGTTCAAGTCCAATTACTAAACTACCCTTCTATAACTTAAAATGGTCAAAGATATTCGGTATCAATCCCGTAAATTTTGAAACAAATAGGTTGACTAACTAAATATGTTAATCCCTAAAACACGGCTTCTCCCCTCCTTTTTGCATTTTGAAAATCAAATCACACAACCATATTTGTTAATTGGTTTAACCTATTAACTCCATTATTTATTTCGAAAGTTACTATTGAAGATTGTAAGATGAATGGGGGAATCTCTTCAGTCACCATAGTTGCTTGACGAACTAATTTCCCTCAAGGGCTTCTGATTATCGTTTGCTATATAACAGGTACCAATTTTAACAAAATTAACTCCAAATATTTGAGTGGGGAAATCTTTGATGAATTAGGTTTTTGGATTTTAGGGTTTTCAAAGCAAGGACAATACCAACACCAACACAGAAGGCTAGCCTAGCGGATATGAGAGGGTTGGCCGACGGCTTAAACGGACTAAACAGTTCTGCCATGATTGACGAGGAGATTTCGATGGTGCTAATGCTTTGAACGGACTAAAGTATATCATTAAAGGTTAAGTGTCGGAAAAAGAAGCAGGAAAACGACTGGCCTAGGTAAGCTTGTGTACAACTTTTAAAGCATGTTAGCCACCATCTCAACTACAACCATCACCACTCATCGTTGTAGGACCTATTTCTTAGGAGCATTGCATCAGGGATGCACCGATCTAATGAAGCTGCATACAATACGACAAAGAAAAATTCAGAATCAAATACATAGTAATTGCTTGCTCTGGTACGTGTTTCTAAATTTAGGCTTTAAATACATGAAAACCAAATATAACGTCCAATCCCCACATAATTCTAATGTTTTCTTTTTCAGTTTTATTATTCCTTCTCTAATTTTGTTGTTTTAACAATTTTGTTGTTAAGTCTATAGAATCCATGTGTCCTTGGTCAATGGGTTTGGGTGAGTTGTAGCTTGAATGTTCCTCTCATAATCACGGACATGTAATTTCGAATATCATAAATTAAAATCTAATTTGGAAAAAAAAAGCTAGATTTATATTTATATGTTTTAAAATTGTTTTCACAGAGTGTTTATGTCAAGATACGCGGCATTCCATAAAACTTGGACCAGGTAGAAGGTAATAACATCTCACTTTTCTTTATTTCTCTTATAGGTATTGTACTTTGAAAGTTTATTCAATTATAGCATTGTACTTTTAGATTTCATTTATTAGGATATTGTAATGTGGAAAATATAATCACTTATAGCAATAAGGATTGATTTTATTTGAATATATTTGCTGTAATGAGTACTTTTTCGAAAATATAATGCTATAATAGGAATATATAAGAGTAAATGAAGAAGGCAATGCTTATTTTGACATTAAGACATGCTTTTTTTCGTAGTAACTTTAAATATTAGTTTATTGGGTGATTGCCATATCGAAAAAAAATAAGTTTTGTGGTGTGTATTTTTAAACCGGTTTTCCGATTGTTCACTTTTTTTCTTTCAAAGAAAAAGAATTACATGCACTATGTATTTTATATGATTTTAATGGGTTTGATGTTGACCTTCTCACTTCTACTTTTTATAGTATGATTTTTGTTTGTTTTTGTTATTTTAAAGATTAAATACGACAAGAAGCTAAAATAATGTTTTTTTTTACAAATTATGAATATTATAACATAATTTGTTTTATAACGAGATTCTTAGAATCTTTTTTGATTTTCCATATAGGAACCAATTTAAGCATTAATTGTATATAAAATTAGTTTAAATAAAATCAACCAGTAATATCTCATTGGTAAACATTATTGAAATATTTGTAGCCTTCCAAGTGAGTGGAACTAATTGTGTTAGTATTAAACTATATGATTTGTTCATTTATATATATCACCTTCAATTAAATTTTTTGTTTCAGTATTTTCCATCTAAAATAAAATTTGTTGTATATCAAAACCATAGCCCTAAAATCTAACACATACTCAGCGTCTAATCCTAATAATATTGCATGTAAATTTTGACATTTTAATTATAAATTTTAGAAATTTATAAATCATTTTAGTTTTTAATAATTTATGGTGTTGTGTTTATTTATTTTTATTACATTTCTATTATATTTAGTTTTTCGTATATCATTGTTATTTCTATGATTGATTTTTTTTTTTTTTACATTCTAATCAAATTTATATTTTGTTAAAGAAATTATAATTAATTATATTAAATGTCTTCACATACATATAACTAATACCAGATATTCAAATAAAAATATAGTATTAGTTTTAAATAGTCAATATAAAAATCTAAACACAACTTATTTCTTATTAGTTTAATAAAATTTTATAATCGTTTTACCCGTGGTTTCCACGGGTTGTAACCTAGTAATGAATCTAAGTAACTAACGAGTTAAGACTTAAGAGTTGCGAAGCATAAAATATGTTTAAGCCCATTGGGCTAACTCAAAGAATGAATAAACGTGGAACCAAAAACATTAGTTAGAATGAAAACTTTCTAAAATTAATTCAAAATGTATTTTAACACATACGAACTCATAAACTATTTTATCTGAAAATGCAAGTGTCCATGACAAATCTCTTACATGGTCCCTTAGTTGGTTAACATGAGTCGTTCAGATATTATGGTTAACCGTTTTTTACCCTAACCATCTTATTGTGTTTATTTCTCAACCTCTACTACTATCCACTTATCCAGTTCAAAATAGTTATATTATATATTATTAAATACATATAAAAATATTTTTACTTTTATTTTTAAACCAACCATCAAAAAATATTTTTTTTCGTCCATTACAAATGTATTTGTAGTTATAGGCAAATGGGTAGAAACATGGTGTGAAAGACTTTCTTTTCTGATATGAACGTTTTTGGAGGACAATATCTGATTATTAGAATTGTAAGTCACATTGATGGTTGAAACTTGAATATGTTATTTTGACAAAAAGTTGTGTGTGTATTTTTGGTTCCACTGTAACGTATGTACATAGATGTTGAAACATGGTATATGACTTACCCGTTAACATAGAACATCATATGTTCTTGGGAAATAGATTATTAAGGTAATCAACTTTTCAGTTTGTTCACATCTGGGTAACTATCTTTTTTTTTACACATATAGGTAACGAAATTTTTAGAAATGTTCACATGGGATCATTATGACCGACTGTAGCAGGTTACATTCGGTCATAATGGTTATATGTTAACACTTTTAAAAAGTTCGTTACCCATATGTGTATAAAAAAAGATAGTTACCCAGACGTGAACAAACCGAAAAGGTAAGAGTAAATTACACGAACGGTCCCTGTGGTTTGGGTAATTTATGCGTTTGGTCCCTAACTTATTTTTTTAACTCGGATGATCCCTACTATTTATTTTTGTTGTGCGTTTGGTCTCTGTCTTACCTCAAAAGACTATTGTGTCCTTTTTAATTTATTTTCTTATTTATGTATTTATTTTTTTATATATTAAAAAAAAAGTAACAGACCACGTATCTGCATCTCCTCACCCTAAACCTGAAACCACAATTAAGAAATTTAAGCTGAGTCCCACCAGTCACCATCCCATCTCTCATTCTCCTTAACTTCTATTTCCTTTTCATCTTTAATGACATCGACATCTTTACCATCTTTTTTTTTTCGGTCCTTCAACTCCGACGAACCAACACCACAACCCACTGTCTCTTAATTTTTTAAATATATAAAAAATAAATACATAAACAAGAAAATTAATTAAAAAATAAAAAAGGGCACAATAGTCTTTTGAGGTAAGATAATGACCAAACGCACAACAAAAATAAACAGTAAGGATCATCCGAGTTAAAAAATAAGTTAGGGACCCAACACACAAATTACCCAAACCACAGGGACCATCCGTGTAATTTATTCTTACCTGTTCGGTTTGTTCACATCTGGGGAACTATCTTTTTTTTGTACATATCTAGGTAACGAACTTTTTAGAAGTGTTCACATATGACCATTATGATTGGTTATGACCGGATGAAACCTGCTATAGCCGGTCATAATCGTCATATATGAACACTTCCAAAAATTTCGTTACCTAGATGTGTACAAAAAAAAATAGTTACCCAGATGTGAACAAACCAAAAAGTTAATTATCTTAATAAGTCTATTTTCCTATGTTTTTCCGTCTAAACTTTTTTATTTTTTACTACAATGACTGCAGCACGACTTGATTTTATTCTAACAAACGCATTCAAACTTATAAATATGTAAAAGTAGTTCAAGCTTATAATTAATTTCTTAAAAATAATGTAACCATACATTCATAAGTGTACAAATATAAGAAAAAAATATCCTTATAAAATATAGAAGATATTAATCAATAGAACTGATGCCTCATCATTTCTTCACACTCAAAATTCAAAAGTGTAAAGATTTCAGTAATTAAATATTTTAATCTTTGATAGATGTAGTTATCAACTTATCAATGTCTTGGAACAACGAATTTGGTTTGTAAATATAAAACCAAAATACAACTCAACTGTTGTTTCTTTGAAAGCTAATGGGCTGAAGGCCTTATTAGATAATTTATCTAAACCGTTTGTTTAAAATTAATATATAGCAACATGAACATACTATGTATCAGAATATATTTTTATTTACCACTTATTTTGAACAAACTTTGTATTCATCTTTTTACAAATATAAAATTTATTCATAAAAATTTCAACAAATGAATTTGCATATTAGTGGAGTGACAATCCAAATCCAGTGAGATTTTGTATTAAAGTTGTACATTCATGATTGAAAAGTAGAAAAGGTACAAACAAGAATGCATGAGAAAAGCATGTGACCATGGCAGAGCACCATGCACCACATCCCCAATGGCTTCCATGGACCATGGTCATAAGTAGGCACCCATGCCTTTGTCCTTTTTCGAGATTCTGGGTACACATATCTTTTAGGTTTTCTTTATCCAGTAATTTATATATAAAAAACAGAATTATTACCATTTGGACACAATAATATGGCAAAAAAAATGATTAAACTCTATTCATGTATCTAGAAATGTTTTAGACCCTGAATTATTACCATCTGGACACCCTGTGTGGGATCCATGCCTCTGTCTTTTAGCTTTGTTTGTAGTGTATTTTGCGAAAACAATGTAAAGTTGGCACATCAACCATTACACAAAGTACAAGTTTTAGGGTTTCTAGGGGGGTCATATTGGCCAGAAGGGCACCTCATAAAACCCAACATTGTGATAGAGAATGGGTGCGGTGCTGCTAATAAGACACCCCTTAGACACCTTTTTATCATTTTTATAAAAGTCAACCTATAATAAACTACTTGTAATCAGTTTTTTCGGAAAACAATGCAATTTCAACCAATAAAAATACTTCAAAATTAATTAGAGTTGTCTAAATAATAAAAGGGGTGTCTTATGGGTGAGAGGCAAATAGGCCAATAGTGGAGTATATTCAAGTCAACTCTACCCAATTGACCATATGTTTTGGCTACTTTTTGTTTAATATAAACACATGTAATAATATCAATAGACTAATTTATATTGTGTTTGTGATACATTTGATTGAAATTGAAATCGATATAAACAAAAATAAAGATTAAAAAGATGGAACATGGCGAGATAGACACATGTTTCTTTAAATCTGGTATGTACAAAAATATGGATGCGCATATCACCCAAATTATCGAAAATAATGCTAGAAGTGAAATTATGTTTCTAATGTGTACATGGGCGGAGCTTCAACATTTTATTTGGGGGGCCGAAAATATAATATGTATAATAATCGATGAGCAGGGGGGGTCACAGTCAAAATTTTATATTTTTGGGCCTAATATGTATAAAATTAAAATATAGGGACTAATTGTGATAAAAAAATCAGGGGCACAGCCCCTAACCCTAATAAAGATCCGCCCTTGAATGTGTAGTGTTAGCGTGTTAATGGTCTAGGTGAATTGGATAAGTCGATAAAAAAATTTCTTATTTTATAATGATTTCCTTTTTCTTTCCGTTTGATTTGAATAGAAATTGATTCAATTTCTGCCAAACAAACCACACCATTGTGATAATATGAGTAAAAGGAAAGTTTCATTCCATAATGCTTTTCCCAACATAACACGTTTACTCACCTTTTGTTCCTTTTTCCCATCATGTTTAATAAAATACAATATGGTCCAAACTCCAAACATGGAATATACACGTTATTATATAAACAAACTAATGTTTTTATAAAGAAAAATTATAAATGTTGGGACCTGGAGAGACAGGGATGGTGGTGATAGAGGGGAACAGTTAAATTTTATAATACTATTTTAGTTAAGTTTTCTAATTTTTAGTAGGATAATCATAAATAATGCTTAGGAAGTTTTAAATTTTAAGTAGAGATTTTAGGTTCAAGTCTATAGAGTAGTTTAGGGGTAAATTTTAAAAAGAGTCTGTTAGCCGTTAAAAATAGTTTTGATTTCTTATCTAATATATTTATTTGCTACAGTAGAATAAGTTCTAAGTTCTAACACCTACAAGACCAATAGACAAATCTGTGACAATTGTCATGACTTTTGTTGACAGTCATCCATTAAAATTGTAGTGCCAAATATTTGTCTATTATTAAATTGACAACTTGCAGTACTTACCTTTTTATTGGTTAACATAATCCAAAGTTTGGGGATTTTCCAACTATTCATCCCTTTCCACTAGATACTCTTTCACCAGATCAATTTCCATCTGAAAGATACATACCAAAATTGACAACATACAACATAGTCGTATGTATAATGTATGTGTATAAACATAATGAAAATATCTAAGTAGTTGTTTGTCTCGTCATTGTTATTTAAATAAGTAACCAACAATGTTGACCGCTGGATATTTGTGCGATAACCCGATCGGATGACACAATGTAAGTAATTTTCTTGTCACCAAATTCATTAACCCATAATATGTTATTACCCAAATGCAAATTCAATGTGAAATTATTGCTAACATAGATCACGACGACACTTCAAACGTTATTACCATTCTTCCAAGGGTTTTTGACATTGTAGCACATCAATGTTTGATCAATTTGCACATTTAGTCACTAAAGTTTTTTTTGTGCTCAATTGATCCTTAATGTTAGTAAATACCTACTAATTAAAGAAATGGGAGAAAATGTTACCGGTTTAAGGGTCATTGCTAACGTGTTTTGGCTTATGTGGACAAGCATTTGACCATGTCATCTTTAACGTGGAAAACCTTCCTTAATTGAACCTTATATTGAACCATCGACGATACATTGTTACCCCAAATTAGGTCAGTGCCTCCCTCCCGATACTCTACACTCAATCGATATAACCAGAGCAATGTCTGCCTCTTCCAGTCGATCGATCAACCTCCTGCGTGTCGGAAACCTTCGTGATGATGACCCCTGTCCACCTTGCGATTGTCAAGATGCAATAAGCGTGGAAAGGACTGCCTGGACCAACGATAATGTAGCTCGCAGGTTTTGGAACTGCAAAAACTCTTTGGTGAGTATTCCTTTTGTTTACTTACACCGTATTTGTTATTTTGAGTTGGGAATGTACACATTTTTATTAATTGCAACCCTAACCCTAACTCTGGTTTTCCATTTTAATCAGTCAGCTAAAGGTCCAAAATGAAAGTTTTTATGTGGAAAGACAAAGAAATGGATGAGGGTTACTACAAAGAACAACTTCGCAAGATGAGGTTTGAGCTGAAAAGGAAAGAAGAGTTTAGTGAAGTTTCGAAGATTCAAAAGAAGTTGGTTAAGCTGCAGCAAGCTATGGAAGCAGATAAGCAAGTGTTTGAGACACAGTTGACGGAGTTGATGAAGCAAAAAAAAATGTTGAAGTCTGGGATCTTTGTTATGGTCATTGTAGTCATTGCCATGTGGTTGAAATGGCCTTGAAAAGTGCAGCTGATCAAATAGGTGTTTATGGTTGATGGTATATAATTCCAACCAGTTTTTTGGAAAGTGTATGGGTGGATGTTAAAAGTTGTTTGCTTTTTTGGGAAGTGTATGGGTGTATGGGTACATGGTCATGGTTAGATCCTAGTTGTAATGTATAGTGAAGTTTTTGGTTGAATGCTTGTTTGATCAATGTGTGTATCGGATGTTAGATGTAATGGAATGTAGATGTAATGGGATGGCAGTACATGGGAACAATTGTAATGACTTTGTGTAGATTCAATGAATGATATGAAAGATCCTAGTTGTTATATACCTTGCTAAATTTTATAATATGCATGTGCTCCTTTTAAAAATTAAAGTGTGGGTACCACATTGTCGTCCATAAGGAACTCACTTGGTTTATTTAAAAGTGCATTGTGTTTAGAGTTCTATGCAGGGGTATATATGGAAAAGTAAGGGCTAGTAAGGGTATATGGACCACTGACCACACGTGGTATATAAGGACATAATCAATGACAATTTAAAATTATCTATATATGCAAATATATTCCCTTGCCATGCAGTTTAACCAGACAAGTCCATGCCATGCATGCAACTTCAAATTAACACAACAAAAAGCTCAAAATAACAACCAACTTAATTAACACAAAATACACATCACATAAACCAACATAGTTTCATACAAACTAACATAGTTAATAGCAGTTTCATAAAAACAACAACAATACACCAAAATACATCATTTCACACTACATACCATGTTCATATCACATAAACCAACACTTAGAGTTATTCTAGAGTAACAGGTTTAGCTTCTGAATTCCCAAGTGCATCTGCACCACCAACTTTCATGCCCAGCTTCAACTTGATAATCCTTTCAGATTTCTTCCTCATGATTTTCTTCAACAGGGTTGCAACTGGTGTTTCTCTAGCCTCCTGTTCTTGCATATGAACCTGACTAGGTTCTCCATTTCCTGATGCATCAAACTCCAAAGGAGTGAGTTCCACCTCATCATAGTCTTGTTGCACATGCACCTCATTGACTGCTTCTCCACCATCATTTACTGCTCATCCATCATCATTTACTGCTTGATCACCCTCATTCACTTCATCACCTTCATTCATTGCATTAGCTTGATTACCTTCATCATCCTCATTGAGTGCTTCAGCTACACCCTGATTGACCAATATGAAACATTATTAGAAATTTAAAAAGAAATTGTAAAGATTAACCATTTAAATACTTATTTACCTGTTTTGTTTTTCTTCTAGCTTTGATTTTAGGAGGCCTTGTCAAAGTACAAGCTCTTTTGTTGTGTCCTTCAATCTTACAAAGGCTACATTTTTGTTTTTTCCCAGCCTTGGATACCTTTACCTGCTCCTTACCTTTGTTTTGTGTTTGGGTAGTTTTCTTTGATTTTTTGCTTGACTGGTTTGGGTTTTCTGTTGCATCCCTTTTCCTTTTAGCTGTAGGTCTCCCAAGCATAGTTCTACGAACAGGAGGTAAAGGTGGCGTGTAATCAGTTGCAGGCCACAAATTACTTCCATTCATAGGTGCTAACCTAAACTTGTATGCCTTCATGTAAGTGATGCTACTAAAATTTTTGTCCACATATGACTCTACATCCCTATTCATATAACTAATAGTTGCAACAGAATGGACACAACCGATTCCATTAAGCTGCCAAAGCATGCATGAGCAAGTTCTTTCTTCAAGATCCACCTCATAAGCATTTGTAGTTCCTCTTACTTCAAACTGATTTAGTCTACTAGGTAAGACTTGGTAATGTCACCCTTCTTAATCTCATTCATTATTTCTCTAATTGTTGGACAAATTTGGTTGCCCCATCCTAGACCCTTGCATTTCTTCTTGAACACCCTCTCCATCATATACATCCTCAACTCCTCTAGCATGGTGATAATTGGCTTCTTCCTAGCATCAACAATCACATCATTAAATCTTTCTGACATTCCATTCTCCACAGAATCACAACATCTTCCTGGTTGGAAGTAGGCCCTTGACCATGTTTTGGGGTCTTTGTCCATCATATACTGATGAGCACTTGGGTCTAACACTTCAAGCTCTTTCATGATAACCTTAAAATCTACCTCTGTTGTTGTTTTACATGCCTTCCAGAATATGCTTTTGTAACACCCCAAATTCAGAAGGTCAAGAAAGGAAAGAAAAACCCCAAGTCAAGAGGTCTACTCGTCGAGTCCAGGGAGGAACTCGACGAGTAGGAGGGCGTTTTGGGTCGCGGGTTCAGTGACCTACTCGACGAGTCGGTAGACCGACTCGGCGAGTTGGTCTGGGTTTGGGAAACCCTAAATTCAGACTTTGTGCCCTATTTAAGCATCTCATTCTTATTCCACCAGCCTCATTATCAGCCTCCATTATCCAGAACTTAACCCACAAAACCCTAGTGTAATCTTGAGCCATTTTCCTTGCAATTGTGTGGTTTGAAGCTAGGAGAAGGAAGGCAAAGAGTGAAGACATCAAAGGAGGGAAGAAGATCTAGATTTCTTGGGACATCTCAGACTTGTTAAAGGTATAAAGCTTATACCTTGGTTTATATCCACTTAGATCTTCTTATGGACTTGTTATTTGCACTTTTTGGGACCTTTCCAAGGTTATTCCGAGATTTGAACCTTGGGGGATGAAAGGACTTCAGATCTGGACATTTCTGAGCTTTAGAATCTCAAAGTTGCCACATTTATTCAGCCATGACTCCATGACATGAATTAGGCATTCATTTTGGCTTGGAATGAGTGTTTTAGCTTCATAACATCATGCATGAACGTTAAGTTAGAAACTTTACGTGTAATGCTAGTCTAAGGAATCCAGATCTATGAGATAGAAGCATTGGAATGAATTAGAATCGACTGAATGGATATGTCACAGGGAGGACTCAGCGAGTTGTTCATGGACTCGGCGAGTCGGGCCGTAAACCCTAACTCATTTTCTGGTTGTAAGTGGAACCACTGAGTTGAGGAGGTGACCCAGTGGGTTGGACAGGACTACGACTCGGACGTTGAAGAACTCGAAGAGTCATACGGTGACTCGGCGAGTCGATTCGCGAATTGAAAGGTTTCTGAGTTCTAGAAATCGGCGAGTCAGTAGGCTGACTCGGCGAGTAGGGTCAACTTGGAAGTGTTGACTTTGACCATTGACCGTTGACTTTGGCTTTGACCAGAGTTGATTTAGTTGACTTTTGGAGGGAAATTGATCTAAGTGTTATTTTAATATCGGTAGCTCGAGGAGCCGAAGGATCAGCAGTTCGGGAATCGCCAGTTCATCGTCATCAGAGTTCCAGTCGAGGTTTCAGCAGTGCAAGGTGAGTCCCCTCATTGTGTGCATGGGTCTACTGCCACAATGCCGACCCATTATGTTTGTGTATAGTAGGAAGAACCGAGGGTTAGCCCTAGGCATTTTATGATATGTGTCGGGCGAGGCCTGAGGAATGTTAGTATGCCAGTGGTAGTTGTGATTCTTGCATGAGTCAGTGTTTATAGGATCCAGACCAAGGTCCGATGTCGGGGTAAGCCCGAGGAATTTTTATGATAGTATGGTTCCGGACCAAGGTCCGATGTTGGGGTAAGCCCGAGGAAGGTTATATGTCACTTGATATATTATACTGGTTGTCTTTGTGATACTGTATGTGCCTGGTAGGGAGGTGGGTTCGGGCGAGGTCCCGTATCTCTCCATTAGCCGAGTATGGACGGGGTTCCGTATCTCATTAGTAGAAGAGCAGGGGCGAGGCCTGAGTTAGGAGGGATGGGAGTGTGGGCAGGGGCCCGTATCTCACTATCAGCATGAGTGTGGACGGGGTTCCATGACTCACCAGTAGCAGGATAGGGGTGTGACAACCCGAAACTTTTTCGTTCAAATCGTTAAAAAAATAAATCAATTTGGAATTTATTTCTGCTCTTGCCGTCATTATTTTGAGCTTAATTAAATATTCTAGGCTCGACCCAATTAAGTTTTGGGTTCAAAAATGAGGTTTCTAAGTCAAAGCATAGCATCCGAGCCAAACACCCCCTTCGAGAGGAGTTTACGGCCGCAAACTCAGTTTACGACCGTAAACCCTGTTTACAACCGTAAACCCTGTTCACGGCCGTAAACCCCCCCACCAACCCCTTGGACGTAAACTCACCCCTATATAAAGGGTGAGTGGCTTTCATTTCCAGCTTTAAGCACTCAAAGGACTTTCTCTCTCTACTCTACAAAATTCGAGTTTTGCTCAAGGATCTTTAAAGTGTAAGTGATTATTCACTTCTATGGTGTTTCAATACCTTTTCTAGTGATGAATCCATGTTTCATCTCATAAAGTTCATCTTTTTCTAGATCTTCTCTCTCACCAAGAACACCAAGAACACTCACTAGTTCTTGGTGGCTAAAAACCTCATTCCAAGCGTCTTACAGTAAGTAACTACTCCCTATGCTTGTTATATACTAGGAATCACTTGTTTTCACCAAGAATTAGACCTGAAATCACGAACACGAGAGGAGTTTACGGCCGTAATCCCTTCAATGGTCGTAAACTCCATTTTTGGTCGATTATTGGCCTTTAAGCTCCTCCTTGAGTTGGGCATAAGGCTTAGAACACTTCCAAGAGGCTAGACAGGACCTTGAAACACCAAAAATCGCACCTTTCACCAAGTGTTTACGGCCGTAAACACATGGGCCGTAAACCCATGGGCCGTAAACCCATGGACCGCAAACACTTGGACCGCAAACTCGTGGGCCGTAAACCCTGTTGGGCTGCAAACCCCTGACCGTACACTCCTGATTACGACCGCAAACTCCCCATCTTCAATCGTGTGATTCTAACACTTTGTTTCAAGTGTTTTCCTAGTCCCAAAGGTGGTTTCCTTCCATAACAAATAGTGTTATGTCCCCATCTAATGCATATATGTATTACCATATGTTAATAGGATCCACTTGTGTACGAAACATCAGTTGACACTCAGCATCCACACCGACCTTACGCTCGGAT